CCCCCCCCCAAAAAAAAAACAAACAAACACAAATGCCAAACCCTAAACCCTAAACTCCAAACCCTGAACCCTAAACCCTAGACCCCAAACCCCAAACCCTGCAATCTCCTGAAAGCCCATACATAGCTCCGAAGCTCCGCGGTGCAGGTGTGAACCTGCTGATGTCGCTGAAGCTTCCAGGGCAAGTCTATGACGAAGGCAACTTCTTTCCAAAGGAGGACATGGTTTAGGGTTTGGCGTGTACCTTTTAGGGTTTATAGGGTTTAAGGGCACCCCGGTTTGGGTTTAGGGTTTAGGGTTGAGGGTCTGTGACGAAGGCAACCTTTCCAAAGGAGGACTGACCCAGACCTTCCAAACTCCCTTCATTAAGGAATCTACCTTAATGCAGATGAGGGATCTTTCTGTAATTTAAGGTATATTCGTTAATTAACGGATTTTGGAAGGTCTGACTGAGTGTGGTGCAGGCTTCATGCCCAAAGCCTCGAGTACTCCTAAGCCTTCAGCCCTGACGCTTCTACCCCAAACCCTACAAGTATTCCAACAACCCGCTGTCCGGATCTCTACACAACGCCCGTACCCTAATCCCTAACCCCTAACCCAATACCCCTAAACCCTTAAAGCCTAACCTCTATAAACCCCCAAAACCTAAAACCCTGTAAGCTCTAAACCACGTCATGCCTGCAGGCTCAGTCTCTAGAGGTGCCAGTGCAAGCCCACAACACCCAGCACCCTCATTCTGAGCACCAAGGCTTCAGAAAAAGACACATCGGCCTCGGGGTATTTCTGGTCCCTTGAAAAGGATCTATAAGGGTCCTTCAGAGGTTTCTATGAATTCTACAAGGGTACTACAGAGGTACTTAAAGTGATCTATAAGGGCTTCATAACCCAGATCTTCCAATCTCACTTAGGTAAAGAATATACCTTAAATTATAGTCGGACGCCTAATATGAATTAAGGTACATTCCTTATTTAAGGGGTATTGGAAGGTCTGGGAAAATAGGTGCTTGAATAAGTACCAATAGTATTCCTTAGGCTTACGATTACATATGATATACCCAAAACCCTAAACCCGACACCCAAAACCGTATTCACAGGTGGAAGGTCTGGGTAAATCGAAGCCCCTCAAACTGATCCTAAACCCTAAACCCCTAAACCCCTAAATCCCTAAATCCCTAAACCCCGAATCCTAAACCCCTAAACCGTAGACCCCAAGCAGAGAGGAGTCGTCCGATGACGAGTCGCATGAGTTGCCCCCATGGGATGCCGAGCTGACGAAGCGGCCAAAGAAGGCTTGGGGTTTAGGGTTTAGGGTTTAGGGCGTAGGATTTAGAGTTTAGGGTTTAGGATTACCCCCCTAAACGGTTTAGGGGGGTCAGAGTTGAGGTCTTCTGAATCGGTTTAGGCCTTGGGGGGTTTAGGGTTTCGGGCTTTGGGGTTTAAGGGCTTTAGGGTGTACGTAGGGTTTAGGGGTTTAGGGTTTAGAGTTTAGGGTTTAGAGGCCCAGATGACGGGGCGCTGGTCCGGTTGTGTAGTCTCCTGCTTCGTCTTGTTACGATGAACTTCCTTACTTCCTTACTGTGGCAATGCCATTCTCGACTACTGCTTTGAACAAAAACCCCTAAACCCTAAACCCTAAACCCTAAGCCCTAAACCCCAAACCCTCAAAACTCCACAGTCTAATCAGCTCCTTTCCCTGGAGTTCATGGTCCTTTGCGGCGCTTCTGCACGCACTCTTGTTGGACTTCGGCAGGACTTGAATTTCGCTGGAAATCCTAAACTAAAACGCCTGGAGCCCTTAACCCAAGGAGCCTCAAGCCAAGTACTATCTAAACCCGAAGCCCAAAGCACTGTAAACCTGGGCTCTAAGCCCCAAAGCTCTCCTCCCTAACCCCTAATCCCAAAACCCTAAGTAATCCATCCTTATCCCTAAGCCCGAAGCCCCAAACCCCTAAACCCTAAACCGTAAGCCCTAAACCCTAAACGGTCCATCGCAAACTTCAGGCACTAAGCCTCCGATCTCTGAGATAAAAGCGCTCCTAGAGGGGCGTCGGGTGAACCCGGAGCCGGAAGGGCTTAGTTTACTTTGTCGTAGTTGTTTAAGGTTTAGGGTTTACGGTTTAGGGTTTTAGGATGTTTTAGGAGTTTAGTGTTTAGGGTTGACGGTTTAGGGTATCAGGGGTTTAGGGTTTTTGGGTGTTTAGGGGTTAAGGTTTTAGGTTAAAGGCCTAACGGTCCTTCATAGAGGATATCTGGGGTATAGCAGAGGCTAGTTGGGGATTAGATTAGGGTTTAGCGATTCGGCTTTAGGGATTAGGGTATGGGTGTAGGCTTATAGTCGTCGAGCCGTAGAGTAGCAGTAGCAGGCGCAGGAGGAGGGCACGGGCAGGAGAGTGTTAGTAACAAACCCTAAACCCTCAACCCTAA